TCTTTGAGATAGCTTTGCTCAGGCTGTGTTCCTATGTGAGCCCAGCTGAGCGTGCAGTTTCCTTTTCCTTCGACCACGTGAAGGTATTTGAATGAGAATCTTAGCGCGGCCTGTGGGGCAAGGAGAATGCCTCATTTTGTCTTCAGTTTGGCTGACAGCTGAGATTACCTCTGACAATCTCTATACAGAGTCACTGGCTTTTCTGCTGCTATTAAAGTTGCCGATTTCAGGGATCTGCCTCTTACATGCCCAGAATTGCTTCTCCCAGAGTCAGCAGGAGGAGGGCTGGGAGCAGGAAACATCTGGGGTGGGGGTAGGAGGCAGGAACATCAACAGACCCCGTGTTGTAGGGCACAAGACCAAGGCAGACCCATTTGCCAGCTGCCCCCAGTGGAGCTATCTATACCTACCAAGAAACATTCTAACGGCTTGTTATTTTTTAAGGCATTGGTAAATTATAGCTACCTCAAATAGACAAGTCTTCTGTGGGGAATGTAAGAATGACTGATGGAGAGTAACAAAATAAAATTGGCTAACCAAACCAGGAGTACTGGAAAGTTAATAACCGGTTCTCAGAGGGGAATGCTGTGGGAGGCTGTATCCTGGGGATAGAGGGGAGGCTAGGGCCTATATTTAGCTGTGGTTATAATTAGTCAAAAGCCTCCATGTGGCTAATCTTTCCAAGACATCACAGTAGCCTTCCAAGGACCATAGGTGGACTATAGGCAGAGGTGGCCTCCCGGCATGCGGATTGGAGATCTGCAGGAAACTGGGAGCAGGGGGCTTAATCATTGACACTGGCACATCTGAAACACTGGATGGGGTCTGGAGCGGCACCTGTCTGTAGAAATAAAATGAAGTGGAGTTGGCCACTCCTCACAGCTCTCACCATATGGCCTGCCAGTGTACTATAAACCAGCCAGGATGCTCCTGGCAGGGATCCCAATATATTTATAGAGAACAGAGACTTGGTTCTAGAAGACAAAGTGCCTTAACACATAAACAGTGCACGTTCCCAGTGGAAGATGGGCTCAGAATCACAGCTTCTCTTCCTCCCAGCTTCTACCCAGTTCACAGGCCAAAGGCTGGAGCTTGGAAAGAAAGCAGTGCATTCTATTTGTGAGTGACTACTGGTTAGCAATGGTGTGAGGGCAGGAGGAGACTCTAAGCAGCTCCCCTCCTCATCTCTTCCCCTGAGTCCTTGGTCAGAAAGCTAACAAGAACATTCAAGAGTGGGAGGGATTCGTCACATTCAGAGGGTAGAATGATTAGTATGTCAGTATTCCAGTGTTCTTTCTGGCCAGGGACTCTAAATGTGTAGATAGACAAAAAATACCTGAGTAGCAACTTATTTGTTCCCAGGATTTTAGCGGCAAGAGCACTTGGCTCAGAGCAGAGAGGTCAGGGCTCAAAACCCTATTTCGTAGGTGTGTCCTCTGGTAAGTGACTTGCCCTGTCTGGGCTCAAGGTTTCACAAATGCAAATACTGATAATAAGACTGCCTCCTCAGATCTCTGGGAGAAGAAAGGGCTAGTCTGACACAGAAGGAGGGCGCACCCATCCTGCATTGGATGGTGCTCAGACAACCCAAGGCATTTACTGCAACACTCCTGGAGGCCACACCACCAGGAGAATCTGTCTGTGGGCTGACAGATGTGAAGTGATGCTAGTGAAGGGCGTCATGCTGTAACAGTCCTGGGTGGGTTGTGAGAACACTTGCCACAGCAAACCCCAAACAAACATCCTGCTTTTGATATTCGAATCGCAGAGCCAGCCTGTTTCCCCAGAGACAGACTTCCAAATCTTCAGGAGAGCCCCTCACACTCCCCAAGCCTTCGCTCTTCCTAGCAGGCTGGCTTTAGTAAGCTTGTTAGGCAAATGTTTCTTTTCTTTTTGAGGCTTTTTTAGCTGCAGGGCTCCATGGGAAATATCTTAGTTAAAGATGTGCCTTAAGACACCCAGATGAGATCTGGGAGCTGCCTTTTCTGAGCATATTTCCCTCTGGACGTTGCTATTTTTAAAGCTCAGCAGAAGGGTCAAAGGGAGACTCAGAGCGGGGGGATGGGGAGGGGCAACTGCTCTCTTCTGGGGAATGGTAAGGCTTGTTTCTATTCATTCCAGTGGGAGTTCAGCCTTGGGGCTGACCAGCCACCTCCCTCCTTGCAGTCTTCCCAGCAGGGACATTTATTAGTGTTTCTAAAGAATCACCCCATTTACCTGATCAGTCAGAAACCTGATACATGAGGGCGTGCCACCCAGGATTCAGGAAGAGCCTGTGTGCTGTATATTCACACCAGACTCTTCCATGTGTTTAAGGCTTTCAATGGAATTTTCCATTATTTCAAAAATGAGATAAAACTCTGAGAGTTGCTATTTTTAAACAAAGAGGGCTGGGAATAATTTTATTATTTTTCTTCTTTGCCCAAGTACTTTCAGGTGTTGAGATAAATGACTATGATTTGCACCTGGATGTTTCCTCTCAGCGATCTCAAGGAGGCCCCTCTCTCCCTCCCCCTCCTCTCCCCCCGCCCATACTCATTGTAGTCCTGGCATAGCTGCTGCAAAAATAATTGGTTTTACTAAAGATTGCACTTTGAAGCTGGAGCCGTTATGGGGGATGCCAGCAGGTGGAGGAACCCCTGGCCTACACTGACTCCTCTCACAAAGTGAGTCCTGCACACAAAGCAATGGCCCCCAGCCATGAGCTGCATGGACCAGTAATTACAAAACAGGAAAAAGAGTTTAATGATCATAAAGACTAGCTGGAAGGAGGCACCCAAGCACGGGCTTTTGAATCAAATGGGTTCAAATCCCAGCTCTGTCTCTGACTGATTGTGCAAACTTGGACAAATCATTTAACCTCTGAGCCTCAGTTTCCTCATCTGTGAAATGGGATTAATGTCTGTCTCATTCATGTCAGGATTAAATCAAACAGCATATGCTTGGTTTTGGTCTTTCTGGGTCCTAAAGTTGTGCCTTTTCACCGTCTAGATCTGCCCTTTGGAATTACATTTTTTTTTTTCTTTACTTAAATATTCTTTGACCCTAGTGGGTCAAATTTGGCCCCAAGATGTGGATTTGAGAGGCATTGTGGGTTTTAAAAATTAGATTAAATTAAAATTAAAATCGAATGTCAATGACTTGAGTAGATCAGATACCCTCTGTCTCCTCACAGGCCCCATGGCTCGCTAAAGCCTCTCACCAGCCCTGATTCATAAACAGCTGCTGGCCCTGGAGGCTTAGGAGTTTTGACCCCTGATCAAGAATGTCTCCTTACATGTTAGGGATGATTCACATTTAGTTGCCCACTCTCTAAGTGACTCAAAAGGCCAGGAGGTCAAGTTTTATAATGAAGCTAGAGTCTAGCTGCTCAAGTTCCAAGAAAACCCGGGAAAGTCACAGCACTCCATTCCTTTTTACAGGGTCCTTGGGAAGCCACCAATTTCATGACTTCAAATTCCTAAGGCAAGATTGGAAACTGAGCCAGAAGAGTTGTAAAATGACTTACTTAAACCTGAAGATAATTCCAGTGTCTTCCAGGAGTCCAGAGTCGCTGCCTGTCCTTTAGCCATAAGTCTATAGGAGTTTGCTGTCCTCACAGACAAAGCAAAGCTGGGGACCACACCTACCTAAACTCTCTGGTTGGTCCCACTAGTGGGTGACCCAGGCAAGTTCTCTCATCTTACAGAGCCTCAGTTTCCTCTTTTGGGGCTGCCATGCATGAGTAAGCACACAGCACCCACCTGGCACAGATCATTAAGGCTTAATTAAAGGCAGGTATAGGTGCTGGCCTTTCATTAAATGGGAGGTGAGTTGGCTCACTGAACAGCATCTTAATAGACCAACCCCAATCTCTGGGATTTGGGACTCTGCTCAGACTCAGTCTCTCAGGTACATTGTTGACCCTTTGTCCATGCTGACCTTGGTGCCTGGTCCAAGAAATGGTGACATTGACTTATGGCACGACCTCCCAGCTTATTCCCCTAAAGCTACCTTGCCTCTTCTTTCTAAGCTTTTCTCAGCAGGTTTTGCTTATATAGAAGGCAGTACCACTCCGCTCAGGAGGCTGCAACATACTCATGGCAGGGCAGTGGCTCCTGGGAGATGGGATTTGTGGGATATCTCATGATCCACTCTCATTTTACCCCTGAACACTCACCTGCTGCCCTACGTGTGGTCAAACCAAACTATTTGCTGTTCTGCAAATGTGCTGTCCTCTCTCTACACCAGGACTCTTTACCCACGCTATTCCCTCCACCCGAACCCTCTTCCTCTGATCCCCCTTCAGCCCAGCACCGCCCCTACAACTCATGGACATAGGACATTTGGCCTGGCCTGAATCCATTCTTCTGTCCTCAGCTACTGTATCCCAATTCCACACTCCACCCCCTCTTGGTCCATGAGGCTGGATGGGGTTGACACTGCTCCCTTTTCTGGACAAATAACCCAGGCTTGGACAATCAGCTAATAAGAATTGGCCCTGGGACTTTTCTTGGAAAGAGGTGCTGTCTTTCCATTGGGGTTACTCATGTAAAGCTGCCGGTGGCTATCTCTGCGCCCCCTTGAGGAAAGTTTGGTTGGGAATGAAGCCAAACCTGTGGATGTGAGATCTGGGGAGAATGAATGGTGAATGAGGCATTCGAGACCCTGGATCCACCCATGCCTGAAACCTTTAGTTATATTCACCAATAAATTCTACTTTTTGCTTAAAACACTTTAAGTTTCTGTCACTTACAGCCGAAAGATATTTGGCCGATATACACACAACTTCATCTGGTTAGCTCCTTTCCACCTTTAGGGCACAACTCAGGCATCATGACCACGCGTCCCTTCTCTCCCAGTCCTGAAGCCAGACGGCATCTCACACATGTTTGTACAGGGCCTCAGTGAAAGGACAGCAAAATGCCACAGACAGCCAAAACTTAGATTTCCCACTGGGACTGCTGCTCTCACTCCCTCATCAGTCCCAGCTACCCCCTGGTTTTCAGAAATACTCTCACCTCTGTCTTATTCCGAGAGAGCACACTGGCGTCGATTGGGCCCAGGGACATGTTTGGCAGGACAAGGTTGAGAACTTTTGCAGCAAGGACCTAGCCAGGGAGGAAAAACAAGGGTATGAGTACAGTGGGATCCATGCCCAGCTCCACCCACAGGACAGTTTACAGTAAATTATGGAAAGTGACACCCAAACTGAACATCAGCCAGGTTTGTTTCCTAAGGCTGAGCACCTCGGGACTCTCCCTGCTCTGACTCAGACAGCCTTGAGCTAGTCTGGCCCAGCTCCTCATGGGGAGCCAGTGAGAAGCAGCCGCCAGGACTGACGGAGGGAATGCCACATCTATTTTTTGCCTGCTCCAGCTTCTGTGCAGTCACCATCCCCACAATCACTCATCGGCCATAGTTTTGAATTATTTGTACGTACAGCCTAGCTAAGCTCTTGTGCACAAGCCACTTCTCAGGGGATCCTGAAAAAGGACAGCAGGAACAGAATCACCTAGGTCACCTGAGAATGAAGCTGAACAGCCCAGAAGGCCCCAGAGGAACCTGCTCTGATCAGAAAGAATCTGTCGATTGTCATGGTTTCTCTTGGAGGGGAACAGAAATAGTCACCCAGCTTTATTAGAAGATGTGTAGCAGAGGGAGCAAGATCAGACTCGATTCCTGGCTGTGCTGTCTCATGCATGTGGACACAAGAGCTGACTATTATTGAGCCTCTGCTTCTTTAGCTGCCAAGGGGGACTGCTGTGTACAAAAGCACTGGACAATAGGCGCTTAATAAATGCTCCTTGAACTGGAACCCGATTCAGGTACAGATCTCCCTGCCCCACCCCACTCTCTCTCCTGCTAGATCTGGTGTCTATCCAGCAAAAGCGTGAACCTGGATTTCACAATTGTGCCTGCAGAGGGGGACTGTTCTCATTTCTGTACTGTGCATAGACACTTGGGGATAAAAGATGCTATTTCAAAAATGAGCTGTGAAATGCTGCAATTAGAATCACATTGAGGGTGGCAGTGAATTCTCATTGCACGTTGAGGGTGCGTGTCATAGAACTAAGAAGTAAGGTCTCCTCAGTACCCTTGTCGGGGTGGGGACACTGATAGCTACTGTAACAATCTTTTGGTGCATCCGGCACAGTTGTAAGTACCCAGTCTTTTAATCTTGACACCAAATGCTATGAAGTAAGGGTTTACCCTGATTTAACACACAAGAAAACAGAGGCTTAGTGCCATACTGTGCAGTCAACTGGAAAAGGAGCAAGAGTCTGGGTAAGGCCACGCTTTCCCTTTATGCCAGTGGCCTTCGTGTCCTTCAATTCTCTCTCTTTCCTGCCATATAAATGCAAAAGGCCTAACCTTTCCTGTGGATGACCAAAAACAGGAGGCATTGATACTCTCCATGGTGACACAATTGCTGTACTACCCAATCTCTCTTCACACTCAGAGTTATAAAACGTGCTATTCCTTGAGCAAGTTTGATGTAACCTCACATCGCCAGGGATCAGGCAGGGCTTTGCTCCTAAAGAACACACATGCAAATACCTATTCTGACCTTCACATGGTCAACTCTCCATTTTCAGTGCAGGATGGCAGTGCCCTGCTTTTAAGACTACCATAGCTCATTGCACCCCCAGCCTGGTGTCCAGGCATGCAAAACCCCATGCATGCTGACTTGCTGCTGTCAATGTGTCAGGCGCTATTGCCAAGCTCTGAGCTGACCTGTGATGACAGTCTAGTATAGAAATATAAGAAAATCCAACTTGGAATACTAGGTTAGCACTTGAATCAGTCCACACAGTCTGAAGCCTCACAGATGGATACGATCTATTGGGCAGGCTCAAGAGGCAAGGTGGGGTTGTGGGCCAGTTTCATGGACAAGAACAGGACCGGAAAGGCTCAGAATTCTGGGAGCTCTACGAAAGAAAAGGACCTGAGTGTTTCCAAACACAAATCAAATGTCTGTGACCTCCAGGAACTGGGGGCTCCTCTGGGAACCTAAATTCAGGAGTTAGTATCTATGTTTTCAAAGGTTAAACATTTTTAATAAAGAGAAAACACAGCAGATAAAAAGTGCACTGCAGGCTCACAGAGAGGAGTGGGCACCAGCCCTGTGGCCTTCACTGGGCTCCAACGGTGGACTTTTAGGGACTTATCTACTCCAGCAATGGTGGCCCAAGGGCAATACTATTAGGAAAAAACTTAATGTATATCTCAAAGTTTATAGAGCTGACTCTTAGACATTCTGCTTTTCTCGATGACTCTTGCCCACAGCTCCTTGAGTGGACACAGGGGCTGAGAGTTGATTCTACTGCCATGCCCAGGAATCACAAGGTGATTGTGTGTGATCGAACCATGTACAAATGTCAGTCTCCAGACGATGCTGCAGTTTGGCCTGTCTGCCTGCTTGAACTGGCATGGCCTTCTCAAGGACACGGCTGTTTTTCTGCAAGCCAACTTCCTACCCATTCCCAGGAGAGATGGCCGACTGCCAGGAAAAGGCCCAGGGACAGAGAGCCTCAGCACTTACCCTGAAACAGAAGCAAGGAGAGAGACCACGCAGCACTGCTCCATTTCCCCAAAACCCACCAGCAGATTTCTCATTTGCCAACAATTTATGTTTTGTTGCCTGTCACCTAATTCTACATGGACCTAGGCACATAGGTGGTGGCCATTTGTGAAGAGGTAGACCTACCTTTGTCTTTGAATCTATGTTCCTGCTGCTAGCAGTCCTTAAATTCAAAAGTTATACCCCAAAGTGCTAAGGTCTCTATTCCAGGAGAAGATGCTGACAGTTTAGGCTCAACAAGGATCAGAAAAGGCTGTGTCGTGGCTGGTACTGTCCTTGCACTGGTTTCATAGGTAGTGAGGGAGACTAGAAAGCCAGAAGGACTCTGGCTCCAGGAGAGAATTACAGAAAACATCTTGTTCTGTCCTTTCTCTGAGCCAGTGGTCTTTTCTCTCTTTTACCAGGGGAACTTTCTTAAGCTAAAGAAAGCTTTTTAGGAAAAGAGCTTTATAGGAAAAATAAAAGAGGAGGGGGCATTTCTGGAGGAGTAATTGCTTTGCAGAAAATGAAGCGTTTGGTTCCTGGAGGATCAGGTGACCACCTGTCTCCTCCTTCCAATTACAAGAAACCAAGTCCTGAGGATTACCCCTCCCACAGCTGCCAATGGCCTACTGCCCAAAGCACAAACAGGAGGAGACATGGGCAAGGACACATCATGCTTAGGACTGGAGGTGGCAGGTGGCAGAGCCAGAGGATGTGTGCAACTGCATGCTTCTCACCACAAGGACTCTCAGGGTGGCAGCCGTTCTCACTCCTCTAAGCGAGCTGATGTTGGTGGGTTCAGGATGGGTGAATGCCCCTAAATGACTGCACAACTCCAGTGGCTGAGTGTAGTGGAAGATACTGGTGTCCTAGTAATGAGAACTGGTTGTTCAATCACAAATATAGATGAGGGGTAAGTGTGCATATATTGCAGCCTGTTCTCCATTCTGCATGGTTAGGTCCTGCCACTAAACTCTGCAGGATGTCACCCCGAGAATAGAAAAGTCTCAATCTATAGATGATTATGAAGCCCTGGGTGTGAGTTAACACCTGGGAGAATTCGTGGAGAGGCATGAGGCAGATACACCCCTCACCCCAGAAAGACAGTCCTTGGTTTTGAACATTTTGTTCCTTCCATCCAGTTAGCACATTGGCAGGGGGCACAGCACAGCCATCTGGCAGCCTGTCCTTTACTGATATTCTATGGCCTCCCTGCTCTAAGAGTGGCCCTCAGACCAGCAGCATGAGCAGTTCTGCCTATCAGATCAGGATCTACATTTTCACAGGACACCTGGAGCATTTGTGTGTGCCCTGAAGTCTGAGGGGCCTGTGTGTTTCAGAGAAGCATCACAATGCCTCTTCCCAGGCCCCACCCTGAAAGATTGACTGAGTTGGGGCATCGGTTTTTTTTAAAAAGCTCCCTAGGTGATTCCAGTGTGCAGCCAGAGTAGAGAAAGGGTTCCTGACCCGCACTGGTTGGAGGGCAGGGGCACAGATGTCTCTGAAGGGCAGGCCGCCCTTCTGAAGAAGCTACAATAAGAGATGTTTGCACAGTCCTGACCCTCAATTCTTTTTCTAAACCTGCATAGTGAGTTCCAAACCACATTTCTAACAGGACTTAATTGGGTAGAGGCAACTTTTGATGACAATAGTGTCGCAGCTTGAAAAAAAATGGTGCTTAGCTTCTTCTCCACAAAAGATCCAAGAAAGATTCAGGGGCAGGGTACTTTGCATAGTTGCAAAAGCAATCCCCTCTCCCTGCTGTTCTTTTAGGGTTTGTTTATTTCATTTGCCTAATGTCTCATGAAGGAAGAAAGGGTGAGCTGGGTGCAGAAGAACTAAACAGAAGCAGTGAATCGATTGTGGCACTGAAGGAAGACAGAAGGGCCGAGAAAGGGGTCTTGAGGTCGAGTAGTAAGGAAAGAGTTGGAGGTGGAAAGAGACTGGTAGACCCCCCACGCAGAAGAATCAGTTTTGTCCAGGTTGCCTGAGTTGCTGCTGCTGCTTCTGGTCATAATCTCCCTCGGCTTCAGCTATCAGCTGCAAGAGCCCCATACTTATTTCCAAGAGAAGTCAGAGGAAGCCACAGAACAGGTGTGGGGGTGGGGAGTATTCTATAAAGAAAGTAGAATACAAGGTATTACCATTCTTGATGCCTTTTCAACCAAACTCTTCTGATAATCCTGCGGGAGTGTGGAAAGAACCCCAGCCGAAGATCCAGCTCAAAAGAGGGGTGACCCCAAATGGGCCCCCCTAGAGGTGAGATTCCCACCATCATCATGACCCCAATAGGCTAAGTCAGGTTTGTGCAATTACAGAGCTCTCAGTGCCACCGACTCAATAGGGACTCCAGGTCTTGTTGCCTGAGAATAATTTGGGGGCCAAGACCCACAACAAATGGACATACAGTCACTGGACCCCAGACCCAGAAAGGGAGGCAATGAAATGGAAGAATCAGACTCGGAGACTGGGAGCCAGGCAAATTTGCATCTCCAATTCTGCATCCCCAAGAAAGTCTATGATCCTCAGTGTCTTTACCTCTAA